GTAAAATGGTTGAAGGGTGTAGGATGACACCATCAGTTACAGCACGGGGTGACAAACGGCTAGGTGACACCGCTGAGCCCACCTCATTAAATAGCCAAATATAGCTTAAAGGATATATTCACGGAGTTTTTGTCAGTTCATCTATTTATCACTTGACAAAGCCAGACCTATCCGTTTGAGTTTCCGATAATGTGCGGGATGAAAATATTAAATATTAAAATTTATATTTTCCGCCCCCAGATCCTGTAAAACTATACAAATATACATTAAAGCATATTATATACTAGCGTACCTTTTCCACGCGTTGCTGCGGCCTCAAAACAATTGCTTACGCAAGATTTTAAAATTACTTCATCAATAAGTTACCAACCATATATTTTTAGACGCGTGACCTTGTTTTCTAAAAAAACTGAGTTATTCAAGTGTAAACAAAGCAGGCGCTATATTTCTTGGATCGTAGTTGTTAGGGCGCGGGTTCGTTCAAACTTTGCACGTAAGCCTGAGGGTGTGCTTTATGAAAGCCTTGAGCTTACGTTAATCCCCCCCCCCCCCCCCGTAATAGTGATTTTGAATACACTTCGGCAACCTCCCAGATGTCAAGGGCGTCGCGGTGTGCTCTCGAGAACCACCGGTTACGTTACCGCATTCACCCGTATCCAGGTTCGGTTAAATCATCAAATGTTGTGTGCCGTCTTGTCCCTATTGTAGGCTGCTCTTTAGATCGAACGTAGGCACCTTAGTGCTCAAAGAGGTCACCCGAGGCGCCTGGCGCGATTTAGTGAGCGATTACAGCAGCCCATTGTATCCATCGTGTACCGCACTCTTTAAAACGAACGTAGGGGTCATCGTTTTTACGGAGAAACCCGACGCACCAAATCGCACCCTTCCGCTTAAATGTTTTTTTTCCGCAGGAACCTTTCTCGGAGTTTCCCCAAAACTCCACCGTTTCCTAGCGATCGGAAGAAAGGTGTAGTAATGCATAAGGACATAAAAACAGACAAAATACTGTATATATATATATATATATATATATATATATATATACGTATATATATATATATATATATATATATATATATATATATATATATATATATATATATATATATATATATATATATATATTTTATATATATTTTATATATATATATATATATATATATATATATATATATATATATATATATATATATATATATATATATATATATATATATATATATATATATATATACAATTATTTCAATGAACTGTACACAATAATGGTGAGCGATCCAGTTTGTAAAGCGGCAGTGAAAACCAAAATTACAACTTTTTTAATGTAGCTCAAACAATAGAATTTCTTTTGAAACAAAACATTTTTTCTAAAGTTTTGGAATACCTGTATCGTAATGTTGCCTTCGACAGATCCCTGCATAGACGAGGGTTCAAAGTGCCATACAGACAAAGCTACGGGACATTGTAAAACAAATCCTGCGTACATGACTATAAGATGTAGGCAATCTTGTGGTCGCTGCGAAGACGGTAGGTGGTGGCTGAGGAGCTTGTGGTTGTTTCTGACAATTAGTTGGGTCGTGGGTGTGTTGGTGGTTGGCTTGTGGGTGTGTTGGTGGTTGGGTCGTGGGTGTTTTTGGTCGTTAGTTGAGTCGTGGGCTTTTTGTTTGATCCATTTCTTGAAGGCGCTATATTTGTTTAGGTACTTGTAAAAATTTGGATGACGACCAGAGATGTGAAGAAAAGGCAGCTCAGAATGCATGCATGACGAGGAGCAGGCACATGCTTAAAGAGTGCCCGAAGGTGTGTGGAAGGGGACACTGTGCTGGTCAGAAACCAGAGATAGTCAATCGAGGTATGTTGTTGTTGATGGGCGGGTCTGTATGCTGTAGGGGGCGGGTCTGTTTGCTGTAGTGGGCGGGTCTGTATGCTGTAAGGGGCGGGTCTGTATGCTGTAGGGGGTGGGTCTGTATGATGTAATGGGTGGGTCTGTATGCTGTTTGCTGTAGGGGGCGTGTCTGTATGCTGTAGGGGGCGGGTCTGTATGCTATAATGGGTGGGTCTGTATGCTGTAATGGGTGTGTCTGTATGCTGTAAGGGGCGGGTCTGTATGCTGTAGGGGGCGGGTCTGTATGCTGTAGGGGGCGGGTCTGTATGCTGTAGGCGGCGGGTCTGTATGCTGTAGGAGGCGGGTCTGTATGCTGTAGGCGGCGGGTCTGTATGCTGTAGGGGGCGGGTCTGTATGCTGTAGGCGGCGGGTCTGTATGCTGTAGGAGGCGGGTCTGTATGCTGTAGGGGGCGGGTCTGTATGCTATAATGGGCGGGTCTGTAGGCTATAATGGGCGGGTCTGTATGCTATAATGGGTGGGTCTGTATGCTGTAGGAGGCGGGTCTGTATGCTGTAAGGGGCGGGTCTGTATTTTATAATGGGTGGGTCTGTATGCTGTAGGAGGCGGGTCTGTATGCTCTAGGAGGCGGGTCTGTATGCTGTAGGGGGCGGGTCTGTATGCTATAATGGGCGGGTCTGTATGCTGTAAGGGGCGGGTCTGTATGCTGTAAGGGGCGGGTCTGTATACTGCCCACACACAGACGAGCCGACCAGAATTAGCGACAACTACATTCACCAGTTATCACGAATTACTTAACGGTTTGTGGCTTTTTTTTCAAAGATAATCCATTTTTCACTTCATTGCATTTGAACTTATTTTTGTTATCTCAGCACCCTTTATCTCAGCTTAAAATTCATGCATTATTTTTTTTTAACAGGATGTTTCGACATATTAGAAAGTTGTGTCGATTATGCCAAACACTTCCCCCAGAAATGTAAGAATGATAGTAGGACATTTGAAAGCGAAAATTGCAGGAGGGTTTGCGGACTTTGTTAACACGTCTACCCTAACGTTCGTTAAGACAGAATTACATTTAAAAAAAAACTATATAAAAAAAATATTAAAAAATTGATTTTAAAAATTTTCGATACGTAGTTGAAGCCAAAGATTATGATTTGCCCTGATTACAAAATTAAAAAAAAAATCAATTAACAAGCATTCCTTGAAATTCTTTTCATATTCGTCGGAATAACTTAGTAAATGAAACGTTATGTACGTCCGAATTCTATGTTTCATTGGTTATCAATCTGAGTCAATACTAGTGGGTAAACTAGATCTAAATAGACGGTAGAAAGTCTCGAAATAGGATCTGACCTGGAGTCCGTGGGGCGTCCACAAGGCCCCCACCCCCCAGCTCTGAAGGGAACTTGACTCATGTTAGATAAGTGAAGGCGGCTGGGCATAGTGCTGACCACACTGTCCCTTCAAATGTCGAGGTCAGTCAACTCTACTTTCCCTGCACGACAAACCGTAAAGCACGAAACAGCCTTTTGAGCTAAATAAGTTAATTATAACATAAGCTTGTAATCACACTGTAGATGGTTTTATCGGTGCTTGAGAGCATTTTTTTAAAGAGAACTTCTATGTTTTTACAAATTCTTAAGACGTCGTTATCTGGAGATTGTCGAACTTCTGACATTGGGTGCAGAGACGTCGACAAAATCTTCGACACGTGCCAAAAAATTGTTTCCAAGCAACGAGAGTGCTGTCTTTGAAAATATGGGTCGGACACCTACTTCCCAGGTACAAGATTTGGATTGGACACCAATCACGCAGCTGTTATGTTGGGTTGGACAGCTAATATTTTTTTTAAGTTTGAAAAAAATAATTAAACATCTAATGAAGTCACATTATATGTCCACTACTTCGTTATCGATCCTTGACTCTTGACCTAATCGAAACAAAACGGTACAAAATCTGAAATATCGTAAATAACTACATTCGCTCACCGGAAATCACTGAAAGTTTTAAAAAATCAAATAGTTGTAACATTGTTACGGGACGGAGTGGTCTAGCGGTAGAGAGTTGGACTGCTAAACCGTAAGTCTCGAGTTCGAATCCGGGTTCAAGTCGTAGACCTCCCTGATTCCACCCAACTCTGATGGGTACCTAACTCACGATAAGGAGAGTAAAGGCGGCTGGGCGTAGTGCTGACCACACTATCTCTTCATATGCCGAGGTCACAGAAACAAGTGAACTCTACTTCACTTGCCCTATAGACCGTCATGTCTGAAAGGGAAACTACTACTACTGACATTATACCTATGCATAAAATTACATCTACCTAACTGAACCAGTGCTCAAATTATCGTGTTTCCACTGAAATAGAGTAACGTACCATTTCCAGTTACCGGAAATTATCCAACAGTTCCCAGGAATCTTCGCATAAATCTAATACTTACATTTGAAATTGTATCCACTTAAATTAAAAGTTACTAAAAAAATTGGCGTTTGCGGATTCGGAGCTGGAGCTTATTACCAGAAATAGTTCAAAAGTTGAGAGAAAACAACAATTTGATTGGATAGTTATTTATGTAACTTTTTATACCCAGCTGGAATGGTGCTTTTCGTTATCGTGTGTGTGTACACACATACACACACACACGCACTTTTACATATATAAATTAATTCATAGCACAATCCAACGTAAAAAACGAGAAACTGAATTTTCCACACCATCCATGTTTACCACTACTTTAATTTCACACTGCTCAAAGTCCTTCAAAACATAAACGATAAAGAGGGACGCACAAAAGTTTGACTATATAAGCATTTTCACGATCACTGTCGGTTCACCTGTATTTGACGTCATAGTTCACCTGTAGTTGACGTCATAGTTTACATTATTCATTTTTATTTAAGGTTATTGTTTGTCATCCACTCATTTGGTCAGTATTGCTCATACACTTGTTTGGTCAGCATTGGTTATACACTTGTTTGGTCAGTATTGGTCATTCACTCGTTGGTCAGTATTGGTCATTCACTCGTTGGTCAGTATTGCTCATAGACTTATTTGGTCAATATTGGTCATATACTTGTTTGGTCAGCAGTGTTCATACACTTGTTGGTCAGTATTGGTCATTCACTCGTTGGTCAGTATTGCTCATAGACTTGTTTGGTCAATATTGGTCATATACTTGTTTGGTCAGCAGTGTTCATACACTTGTTTGGTCAATGTAAATTCTTTCGAAGATACCCGTTTGACAGTAACTATCTCCGTACGTTCTATTTTCTCTCTAAAAACAGAAAAAGAATAGTATGTTTATAATTTCTAGTTTAAAAAGACGTACTATAACATTTGAGTTTATATATATATATATATATATATATATATATATATATATATATAATATATATATATATATATATATATATATATATATATATATATATATATATATATATATATATATATATATATATATATATATATATATATACGTATATACCTATTTATGTATATATATGTATATATGTATAAATATTTATATATGTTATGTATGTGTACATATACATAAATATATATATTTATATACGTATATACCTATTTATGTATATATGTATATGTATATATGTATGCATAATATATATATATATATATATATATATATATATATATATATATATATATATATATATATATATATATATATATGGCTATATAAATAAATAAATAAATGAATATATATATACTAGCCGTCCCGGCCAGGCCCTGCTCTGGCTTCTGTGAAAAACCTTTCTGTTAAAGACCATTACCTGTGTGTTTAGTAATCATCATAAACCCGGCATTGCACACCCAAACCAAAACCAAAACAACAAAACGCAAACATAACGCTAACACAATTACAAATACAAACGAAAACAAAAACCTAACAACTAACCCAACCACAACCACAAACACCAATACGAACACAAAGAAAAAAACAAACGAAAAAGCAAACGAAAACAAACCAAATCCAAATGCAAAACCAACCACAAACCCAAAGAAAAAAACACAAACGAAAAAACAAACGAAAACAAACCAAATACAAACGCAAAACCAACCACAAACACAAACGCAAAGAAAATAAAACACAAACGAAAACGAAAAAAGAAAGAACAAAAACGAACCAAATCAAAACGCAACCACTAACGCAAACCCAACCTAAACACAAAGAAAACACTAACGCGAACATAAACGCACAGTGCTCAGAGTCTAGCCCGGGGCGGAATCGCCTGTTTCAGCTTAATAAACGACTATAGTACCCCAACTTATTCATAGTCTTTTGCACTCACTTTAATGAACGTAGGCGCGAAACCGAACACGGGAGGCCCGGGACCCCAAATAGCACCCTGTCTGGGCGCCAGAGGACGCACCATGACGTCACCGCCTGATTGAACTTAGTAAACGACTATAGTACATAACTTATTCATAGTCTTTTGGACTCACGCGAACGTATATACCATAGCGTACACCGGAAGGCCTGGGGCGCCAAATAGCACCCTGTCGGGGTGCCGGAGGACGCCCGGATTTGATTCACTTAAAGACTATAGTAACCTTTCTTACCCATAGTCTATCGCACTGTTAAAAACAAAACTATGCAGCATAGCGCTCACATGATAGCCCAGGGTGCCAAATCGAACCGTGCAAGGGCGCCGGCGGACGCGCCTGTTTCAATTTAGTGAACAAAAATGATAATACTCCAAGCTTATCCGTAAATGGAAAGAAATAAACATATATGATTTGTAGGACCTGGCTTATTAAATGTTATTGATTTAAAAAAAAAAAAATTATTGAACAGTATGTTCAGTGTATAGAATAAATAAAAGGCAGTGTTAAAAATACCTAACGACATTGCACTTAATCAATCCCCGCTAATTATGTAATTATTTTTTTTTCTTAACACCAAAAACAAAGTAATAAAATGTAAATTCTTTCTTCTTAAGAATTTTTTTTATTAAAGGGAAGTAACTGTGCAGTCAATACATTTCCGACACAATTTTAGAAATTTTATAAACGTCGATACACTTTTAAAAAATTTTATGTCGCGTTCATAATTGAAAATTATTCTTCTAAGTAAACAGAATGAAAATTGTTTTTAAAGACTTTCAATGGTAATTTTTTGACTCGTAAATTTAGACTATGAGCACGATAAAAAATCTAACACTTAAATCCATAGAACTGTCAACGACAAACTTTTTTTTTGCCACACGTTACAGAACTGAGCTTTATATATTAGATATATATATATATATATATATATGCCTATATACATTTGCCTTTATAATATATATATATATATATATATATATATATATATATATATATATATATATATATATATATATATATGGCTATATAAATATCTGTAAATCAATATTTATTTGTAGTTAGATTTATGTTTAGATACGTACACTGTGTAGCAGAACATGAGATAGCATAATCCAGAAAGTACGATGGATAGCAGCAGGTAGTAGACGACCATAAAAGCTATAAGGTCCATGGCTACCGTAAGAGAAAACATTATTTTAGTTCTTTTTTCCAGTTCGTATTTCTAGTTAACAATATAATATTCTATAGGTACACTATATAGTTACATTAAGTTGTTCACGGCAATGTTTATAATGTTACCTGGCTGGCAATAGCCGAACACCCTGTCAATGCAGTCTTTGCCGTTACATTTTTTACTACAGGAATGTTGACATTCAAGGCCGTACGTCATGGGCGGACATGCTGCGGAGAAAATAGAATTCTAAATTTAAATTTTAGCCGAGGGGAGAGCATCACCGATTCACATAAATCAATAAGTTGTAGTATATAATTTGATTTGTGTTATCACATATAATGATAACAACCTCATACAATTGTTATATATCGATATAACATATTACATAAATTAAGAATTTTATAATGTTACATTCAGATTAGTGTCGTACATTTCATTGTAACTTCATTATTGTTACTCATCGGTATAATGTATCTTTAATAAAACAAACGTACGACATTCTATATTTAAAACTGATATCATCTATTTTTGCATTGAATGTGTTTTTAAAAAAAATACCTAAGAGTCGGTGATGTTATGTTCATTTAAATAACATAGCACTGTTTTATGAAAAAGCTTATCAACAAATCTTTTTGGGCTTCTGTGTTTTACCCATTGGTATACTTGAAAGCGTTAAAAATATATTCATTCTTATAACGTTTAACTTATTTTAAAATACCTTTAAAATTACCCATAAATTTAAATATTAAAATAAAAATAAAAATCAGAAAATGATCAGTCTATTTACCCACATCACAATTTAAAACCTACATGTCCCTATATTAAAACGATCAGTCTATTTACCCACATCACAATGAAAACCTACATGTCCCGATCAGCCCACTTACCCACATCACAATGAAAACCTACATGTCCCGATCAGCCCACTTACCCACATCACAATGAAAACCTACATGTCCCTAATTTAAAACAATCAGTCGACTTACCCACATCACAATGAAAACCTACATTTCCCGATCAGCCCACTTACCCACATCACAATGGAAACCAAAATGTCCCTCATTTAAAACAATCAGTCCACTTACCCACATCACAATGAAAACCTACATTTCCCGATCAGTCAACTTACCCACATCACAATGAAAACCTATCCATCCTGGTCTGCACAGAGGGCACGTCCCATCTCGTCTGTTGCAAAAACCAGCGCAATTCTGGCATTGATGCTCGCATGCTCTTCCATAGAAGCCAGGGGGACACACATCTATGAGAAGTAACCGTTAGGACACACATCTATGAGAAGTAACCGTTAGGAAACACTTGTATGAGAAGTAACCGTTAGGACACACTTGTATGAGAAGCAACTATTAGGACACACATCTATGAGAAGTAACCGTTAGGACACACATCTACGAGAAGTAACCGTTAGGACACACTTGTATGAGAAGTAACCGTTAGGACACACTTGTATGAGAAGTAACCGTTAGGACACACTTGTATGAGAAGTAACCATTAGGACACACATCTATGAGAAGTAACCATTAGGACACACATCTATGAGAAGTAACCGTTAGGACACACATCTAAAACAAACAATCGAGTTAACATTAATTATTAGGACACAACTTCAGCAAAAGCAAAATCGAAGATCAGAAATTTAAAAAAAATATATAATGTAATAAGATGAATTATAAGATAACTTTTACCCTCAACACATCTGTCACTCATACAAGGCGTGTCCTTCGTCTCAAGGTCATGACCCTGACATGGCGCTCCCTCATAAAAGGGGAGGGGCTGGTAGCAGTACCTCCTGGAAACATGCGAGGCACCAATAAAGCACATCAATATAACTACAATATGGCTAAAGCACAGCAATATAACAACAATATGGCTAAAACACAGCAATATAACAACAATATGGCTAAAACACAGCAATATAACAACAACAAGGCTAAAACACAGCAATATAACAACAATATGGCTAAAACACAGCAATATAACAACAACAAGGCTAAAACACAGCAATATAACAACAATATGGCTAAAACACAGCAATATAACAACAATATGGCTAAAACACAGCAATATAACAACAATATGGCTAAAACACAGCAATATAACAACATGGCTAAAACACAGCAATATAACAACATTGCTAAAACACAATAATATAACAACAAGGCTAAAACACAGCAATATAACAACATTGCTTAAACACAATAATATAACAACAAGGCTAAAACACAGCAATATAACAACATTGCTTAAACACAATAATATAACAACAAGGCTAAAACACAGCAATATAACAACAAGGCTAAAACACAATAATATAACAACAAGGCTAAAACACAGCAATATAACAACATTGCTTAAACACAATAATATAAAAACAAGGCTAAAACACAGCAATATAACAACATGGCTAAAACACAGCAATATAACAACATTGCTAAAACACAATAATATAACAACAAGGCTAAAACACAGCAATATAACAACATTGCTAAAACACAATAATATAACAACAAGGCTAAAACACAGCAATATAACAACATGGCTAAAACACAGCAATATAACAACATTGCTTAAACACAATAATATAACAACATTGCTAAAACACAGCAATATAACAACATTGCTTAAACACAATAATATAACAACATTGCTAAAACACAATAATATAACAACAAGGCTAAAACACAGCAATATAACAACAAGGCTAAAACACAGCAATATAACAACATTGCTTAAACACAATAATATAACAACAAGGCTAAAACACAGCAATATAACAACATTGCTAAAACACAATAATATAACAACAAGGCTAAAACACAGCAATATAACAACATTGCTAAAGCACAGCAATATAACAACATTGCTAAAACACAATAATATAACAACAAGGCTAAAACACAGCAATATAACAACATTGCTTAAACACAATAATATAACAACAAGGCTAAAACACATCAACACAACCAGGTAAAAGATTTGAACACAAACCTTCTGGTCATAAATTTGCCAGTACACTCATCATCGCACCCCCACCTCTCCCACTGTTCCCACACCCCGTGCACTGAAAACAAAAGCAATTAAAACTTTTAATTAAGCAATTAATATGAATTTACAAAATTTGGAAAATAGACCAGTACCAACACTAAGGCATTAAGTAAACAATTCATGAATAATTACGATAATTCTAAAGTGGATCCAAACCATCTATTTTAAAATGTATCCAAATCTTCTAATGAACTATTTAAATTTAAAAAAATAAATATCAAGATGATTTTAAAAAACATTGATACCCGCTACCCCTCTTCGTAGATCCTCTGAGATTTGATTGTCCGAATCAACATCCGAACCTGTTGAAATAAACAAATAGTTACCACCTTCTTTTAGTATCAGGGACATAATTCAAACTGAATATATTATTATACTTGCCCTATAAGGGAAGTAACTGGGTATAGTAAGAAAAGCATCCCAATCTTCAAGGGCTATCAGAGGTCTGATTCAAACTGAATATATTATAGACTTCCGCAATAAGGTACGTTTTAGTACATTGTCTTCATTAGATTTTTCATCAGAATTATTGGTACACTGTCCTCATCAGATTTTTCAACAGAATTATCTGTATACTGTCATCATCAGATTTTCTTTACCAGAAGTTTTGCCTTGTTGCCTCCCTTAGAGTACTTATCAGAATTTTTTTTTAAATCAAACTTTCTCACCAGAAGTTTCGGCATACTGTCTACCTCAGATTTCTTACCTGAAGTTTCGACATACGGTCTTCATCAGATTTCTCACCTGAGGTTTCGGCTTACGGTCTTCATCAGAGTTCTCACCTGAGGTTTCGGCATACGGTCTTCATCAGATATCTCACCTGGCATCTCTTCATCGATCTTTCCATCACAATCGTTATCCATCATGTCACCTGGATGCATCAGCTCCACACGGATGAATTCATTACAAGCGAAACTACCACCCTGTCGTCACACATTAACTCTAGAATTGTCTGTATATACTTAAATATATATATATATATATATATATATATATATATATATATATATATATATATATATATATATATATGTTACGGTCAAAGCCCGAAATGCGGCCAAACCCCGGATTGGCCGGCCAATGCGCGGATTGGCCGGCTCCCTTGGCCAAAGCCCGAAGAACTTAGAGTTAAGATCGTATTTCGTACATTGGCCGGCCAATGCGCGCACTGGCCGGGACGTACTGGCCAAAGTCCGAAGTACTTAAACTTGACAGCGTATTTTGTACATTGGCCGGCCAATGCGCGCATTGGCCGGGATGTCCTGGCCAATGTTGTATCTAGACCAAGTTGTGATCGCGTTTTAATTATTCTGGGTGTGGTTTCATTGTGGGTAACGTATTGTTTGGCTCTTGTTTGTATAGCATTCTATATGCAAGGCGACATGGATCAAAAAGGCCGCCAGACCAAGAGACAGACACAACTGTATGTGACAGCCTCCTCCATGATGACGAGGTGAGACAATCATCAAAGAACAAAATCAAAGACAGTCGGCGTCGCCGACCACGTGCAACAAGACGGAACGTTCAAAAGACTTTTCCGCGTTCCTAGATGTTTAAAACATGATGATGACATGGATGCAAACAAATGAATCAGCTCATTGGGCTGAGAGTCTCAAATTCATTTAATTTATGAAAAATCGTTCTTTTCCTCAAGGAATCCAACAATCACCATACGAAGCCTTGTTTGGATGCAAAGCAAAAGTGGGACTTAGCACTTCAAATCTACCAAGAGAGGCTCTCAATAAAATAGTTACTGAGGAAGATCTTGAGAACATTGAACAAGAAATGGAGGTTGCCATAAATGCAACGACATCCTCAGCTAACACATCTGCTGCCGTGGCGGAACGTCCAGACCAGTTGCGTGACAATAATGTGGCCAATAGATTCTGTATAGTTTGTGAAAAACATTGTAGTGCAGCTCATTCTTGTGGATCCTGTGGCAACGATGTGCATGCTATTTGTGGAATACCCAATGAAGCAGACGAAGGGTACGGAGGGAACATTACCTGCAGATTGTGTCACAACAAACAAGACATCATGGAACACAGGTCAGCAGCTCATACTGGCTTGCAAAATCAAGGTGCTAAGATGCTTAAAACATCAAATACAAAATTTTAAGATGGTGAAGTGGGTGACAATGTACGCATCGGTGTTCCAGATGTTGACAGAGGTCGCGGTGATCCCCGAAGCGTGATTGCAGTTGTCATGATAATATTGATTGATTGAGACTATAGTACAATAAAAAATGTGAATGTTTCTGTCATTTACTTTAATTAATAATCAATAAAGACTTAATTTCATGATCCTACCGGCATAAAAAAAAACAAAATCTGCTCATGTTCTTCTAATTAAGACTTTGGCCGGTCCACCATGGCCAGTCCGCGGACTGGCCCGGACTGGCCGGCCAAAGGCCGAAATCAAGAGCTATTTCAGACTTTGGCTGGTCCACAATGGCCAGTCTGCGGATTGGCCGGCCAAAGGCCGAAATGAAGCAAAGTTTCGGACTTTGACCGACCTATGGGAGGCGATATTGGCCAATGCGCGGATTGGCCGGCCAATCCTAGCATTGGCCGACTTCGGGCTTTGACCGTAACATATGTATATATATATATATATATATATATATATATATATATATATATATATATATATATATATTTATTTATTTATATTTATATATATATATATTTATTTTTATATATATATATTTATATAAATAAATAAATAAATATATATATATATATACATATATATATATATATATATATATATATATATATATATATATTTATATATATATATATATATATATATATATATATATATATGTATATATATATATATATATATATATATATATATATATATATATATATATATATATATATATATATATATATATATATATATATATATGAAACATTACACCATTTTTTAAAAAAATTCTTTAATAATTGAATTACCTGTTCAGTTAAATCCATTTTGCTGTCCTTAAAGCCCACAGGATGAAAATAAGTCCCGAAGTCTTTCCTACCAAACAAGTAGAGGCCGTAGTTAGAGACGTCTTCAGAATAGGAGTAATGGAGTCCAGTAGAGATTTGCAGGTATCTCACTTGGTACTGTGTCTTGTTTACCTTGGTGACTGTTGTTCTTTTAAAAAAAAATTTTTTTAGTTTATTTTTGGTGAGAAATGCAAACATTTTACGGATAAATCTAATTTGTTTTTAAAGACAAGTTCTGCGCTATATATCATAAGTCATCGTAGTACATTTACTTCGATTTTAGAAACCCAATTACGTTTAATGTTCCATTTTATGAAAATAAAAATACTTTGTTCGAATAATATACATATATACATCAGATGTCCATTCTTAATTTAAAAGATAATCATCACCCAATAATATTTTTAAAAATTTGATCTTCAACTCAAAATATATGTTTGTACTACAGACACTCACTTATTATTTAAAAGATAATTATCCCCAAACAATATTTTTGAAATTTTCCACATTAAAAAATTTATATGCCTACATACAACAGATGCTAACTCGTAATTCAAAGGAAAATCGTCATCCAATAATTATTTTTTTAATTCGATTTTCCACATCAAAATTAATTTATATACTACAGTTACGAACACGTCTTTTAAGAGATAATTATCATCCAATTAAGTTTAAAAAATTCATCTACCATATGAAAATTATTGTGATAGACTACAGATAAAGTAAAAAAAAATAAAGTTCCCTTTTCTAACCTGACGGCAAGTGAAGTAGAGTTCATTTGTTTCTGTGACCTCGGCATATGTAGAGATAGTGTGGTCAGCACTATGCACAGCCGCTTTTACTTTCCCTAACATGAGTTAGATACCAATTAGAGTTGGGTGGACTCAGGTGCAGGTCGACTGACTTGAACCCGGATTCGAACTGGAAACTTACAGGTTAGCAGTCCAGCTCTCTACCGCTATACCACTCCGTCACTACAGATACTCACTCGTAATTTAAAATATAATTATCATCCAATAATATTTTTGAAATGCGATCCTCCAAAGCCACGATAATCAGATGTGCAGTAGAGGCAGATGATATAGTGTTGTAAGGGAAGGGAACACTGGAGAAATAAAGAAAGGGAATTAACTCGTTCGTTAAAATGGTCACGACGTCTGAAATTTAGAAAAAAATGAACACAATAGCGTAAGGAAATACATACAGCATATTTATCAAAATAATTACTACAATCGCAAACTATTTACTGCGAATACATGAATTATTCAGCGATAGTAATTATATTTTAAAGCCGTATGTAGTATATATGTCATCGTTGCAAAGACACGGTACCATACAATAGGTCCATCGTTAATTTTTGTCAGAACTAGTCTTTTTGTGGCATACTTCACATTGCAAATAAAATAAGCTAAATTTCCACTTGAAAATCAAATTCCTTTTTAAATGTACAACCTTTTCGATAACAATTTTAATCAAATATTTACAGTGTTTAATTTCCGTTTGATAATTTAAATTACTGAACTTGCGACATTTCTGTTTGAAAATTTCAGTTACATATCAAGCATGTTGCATTACCGCTTGGACTTTAGTCCATCTTAAGGCTTCAGGTAATGTCGACATAGCATTCTACTTGACGGTTCGTGGGTTAGGTGAAGTAGAGTTAACCTGTTTATGTGACCTCGATATATGAATAAATAGTGTGGTCAGCAATATACACAGCCGCCTTTTACTTTCCCCAATGTGAGTACAGGTACCCACCAGAACTGGGTGGACTCTACGGACTCAACCCGGATTCGAACTCGAGTCTTTCAGGTTAGCAGTCGGTTGCTCTACCATTCGACCAATACTACCTCCACCCCCCCCCCCCCCCCAACACTACCTGATAGAGTAGCTGAAGATGAATGAATCAGAGGGTAGCACCAGCGACGCTGAGATAGCCCACGAACAGTCTGTGCTTTTACTGATGTAGTAGCACATCACAGGTCGCGAAGATTCCACGTACAGTGGCTTGTCCCCGTCTACGCTAATCTGGAAGAAATCGTTTAACCCTTGAAAGTTTTATGAAGGGGGAATCTAGAGATAACATTTATGCTAGTACGATTTTCGAATATTATCAGACTAGCAGCAAAGCGTATGTGACATCAGATATAGAAAAAAAAATCTCACAAAATTGTTTGAATTATCATTTTATTTGTTTCACATTCCAATCTCGTTAACATCGTCTCGTTCTGTGATCGGTATTTCTTTGTTTGTTCCATTTAAAGTTGGGGGACAGACGAAATTCGACAATTTTACAGCTAGATCTAGATACACACGTTGATAGTCGATAGCAACAGATTTTAAACCTAAGTAAAATCGGGAGCAGGACATTCCTCCATCATCGGGAGCAGGACATTCCCCCATCATCGGGAGCAGGACATTCCCCCATCATCGGGAGTAGGACATTCCCCCATCATCGGCAGCAGAACATTCCCCCATCATCGGGAGCAGGACATTCCCCCATCATCGGGAGCAGGACATTCCCCCATCATCGGGAGTAGGACATTCCTCCATCATCGGGAGCAGGACATTCCCCCATCATCGGGAGCAGGACATTCCCCCATCATCGGGAGCAGGACATTCCTCCATCATCGGGAGCAGGACATTCCCCCATCATCGGGAGCAGGACATTCCCCCATCATCGGCAGCAGGACATTCCCCCATCATCGGGAACAGGACATTCCCCCATCATCGGGAGCAGGACATTCCCCCATCATCGGCAGCAGAACATTCCCCCATCATCGGGAGTAGGACATTCCCCCATCATCGGGAGTAGGACATTCCCCCATCATCGGGAGCAGAACATTCCCCCATCATCGGGAGTAGGACATTCCCCCATCATCGGGAACAGGACATTCCCCCATCATCGGGAGCAGGACGTTCCCCCATCATCGGCAGCAGAACATTCCCCCATCATCGGCAGCAGGACATTCTCCCATCATCGGGAGTAGGACATTCCCCCATCATCGGGAACAGGACATTCCCCCATCATCGGGAGCAGGACGTTCCCCCATCATCGGCAGCAGAACATTCCCCCATCATCGGGAGCAGGACATTCCCCCAATATTTACCCACCGGACATTTACCCTGACAATATTCCCGAAGTAATTACCCGCCTGTCAATTAACCAGTAGGACATTAGCCCCGGTCATTGTGAGATAGATGCAATACTTATAGCTTAAGGATAGGGTTAAGGTTAGGGTTATGTTAGGCTTTGGCGTCAGGCTAAGTTTAGGGTCAGCCTACAGCATACGATTTAGCCTGCTACATCAGATTTAGCCTGCTACATCAGATTTAGCCTGCTACATCAGATTTAGCCTGCTACATCAGATTTAGCCTGCTACATCAGATTTAGCCTGCTACATCAGATTTAGCCTGCTACATCAGATTTAGACTGCTACATCAGATTTAGCCTGCTACATCAGATTTAGCCTGCAACTTCAGATTTAGCCTGCTACATCAGATTTAGCCTGCCACATCAGATTTAGCCTGCTACATCAGATTTAGCCTGCAACTTCAGATTTAGCCTGCTACATCAGATTTAGCCTGCTACATCAGATTTAGCCTGCTACATCAGATTTAGCCTGCTACATCAGATTTAGCCTGCTACAACAGATTTAGCCTGCTACATCAGATTTAGCCTGCCACATCAGATTTAGCCCGCTACATCAGATTTAGCCTGCTACATCCGATTTAGCCTGCTACATCAAATTTAGACTGCTACATCAGATTTAGCCTGCTACATCAGATTTAGCCCGCTACATCAGATTTAGCCTGCTACATCAGATTTAGACTGCTACATCAGATTTAGCCTGCTACATCAGATTTAGCCTGCTACATTAGATTTAGCCTGCTACATCATATTTAGCCTGCAACTTCAGATTTAGCCCGCTACATCAGATTTAGCCTGCCACATCAGATTTAGCCTGCTACATCAGATTTAGCCTGCAACTTCAGATTTAGCCTGCTACATCAGATTTAGCCTGCTACATCAGATTTAGCCTGCTACATCAGATTTAGCCTGCTACAACAGATTTAGCCTGCTACATCAGATTTAGCCTGCCACATCAGATTTAGCCCGCTACATCAGATTTAGCCTGCTACATCCGATTTAGCCTGCTACATCAGATTTAGACTGCTACATCAGATTTAGCCTGCTACATCAGATTTAGCCCGCTACATCAGATTTAGCCTGCTACATCAGATTTAGCCTGCTACATCAGATTTAGACTGCTACATCAGATTTAGCCTGCTACATCAGATTTAGCCTGCTACATTAGATTTAGCCTGCTACATCATATTTAGCCTGCAACTTCAGATTTAGCCTGCTACATCAGATTTAGCCTGCCACATCAGATTTAGCCTGCTACATCAGATTAAGCCTGCAACTTCAGATTTAGCCTGCTACATCAGATTTAGCCTGCTACATCAGATTTAGCCTGCTACATCAGATTTAGCCCGCTACATTAGATTTAGCCTGCTACATCAGATTTAGCCCGCTACATCAGATTTAGCCTGCTACATCAGATTTAGCCCGCTACATCAGATTTAGCCTGCTACATCCGATTTAGCCTGCCACATCAGATTTAGTCTGCCCTATTAGATTTAGCCTGCAACATTACATTTAGCCTGCCACATCAGATTTAGCCTGCTACATCAGATTTAGCCTGCAACATTACATTTAGCCCTTAACGTTTTTGGCCCTGCCACAGCAGATTGATCATGTATCAGCCGGGTTTCTTTCAGATATTTATTTCTGGGTGGGTGGGGGAATTTGAAAATGCCGGGAGGACGAGCACTTAAAATTGCCCTGGGAGTGAATACTGGTTACAGTGTTTATATCTATCTCTCTATATAATTCGTTACGAGGGACCATGCGGGACACCACCACGTACGCACGCCGATCAGCACCCTCCCCGCTCTCCAGGCATGCGCAATAGACCTCATCGCTACCACCCCCACCCCACCAGTCTGGTGAGCGGTGGTTCACGACGAATGTTTACAATCGTAGAGCCCGGGCGAATTACTGACATCTGTTAGGGGCAGATAATTTAGTTTTTAAACGATTTAAAACTAAGTGGAGGTAACAAATTCTGCTTGATCTATTCATTGTCGTCTGTAAACAGTCGTAACAGACGGCTGCATTCACCCAGGGAGGGTGGGGTGTGTGGGGGGGGGGGGGGGGGAAGAGGGAGGTTAGTGTCGAATTCGCAAATTATGAATTACTGAAAACTAGAAAATAAAACAACTAAATAGCGGCGTATGCTACGCTGCGGGTCGGTTCGTTCTATATAAATTTATAAAGTATATATTTTTGGTTTTCGTCAGGGTGGGGGTGATTGGTGTTTTTCGGAATTACCACTCACCCCCCCCCCCCCCCCCGAAGATATCCACTGAAAGAAACTGATTCTCTGCATCCAGACAATGTAACATGACATTCAATTTTAACCTTTAGCGATAAAACATTCACAAATAATTTCTTTAAAAAAAATTAATTAACAAATGTAATTAGTGACGTAATAAAAACCACGACTTACAGTGACGTAACGGCCGTCATAAACAGTCATGTAAATCTCCCTGTTAATGATAAGTTGGGCATCTGCCAGATTAGACATAATCTTCACCTCGTCTTTCACGGAGGGTTCAGAGCTGAAGACTGGACCAAGTCGACTGAATATGATGTACTCGTTATAGGTGTTGTCCAAAATGGCAGAAGATGCTGAGAAACGGAAAAATAAATAGAAAAATATACTGAAGTATATATTTTGATCAGATTTAAATATAAAAGATCGTCTAGATCTTCCAGATCATGCAATCGTTCAAACCCAACCCCCTTAAATTCTTACCCCCACAATCCACCCTACACCATCCACCCCCACAAAATCCACCCCATATCATCCACCCGCACCAGCCACCCACACCACCATCCCCCACACAATCTACCCAACACCAGCCACCCACACCACCACCCCCACATCACCCAACCACCCGAGCCACCAATATCATCCATCCCACACCACAACACGCCACCCACACTAGCCACACCCCCACCCACACTAGCCACACCACCATCCAACACTAGCCACACCCCCACCCACACTAGCCACACCCCCACCCACACTAGCCACACCCCACCCACACTAGCCACACCACCACCCAACACTAGCCACACCCCCACCCACACTAGCCACACCCCCACCCACACTAGCCACACCCTCACCTACACTAGCCACACACCACCTACACTAGCCATACCCCCACCTACACTAGCCACACCCCCACCCACACTAGCCACACCCCACCCACACTAGCCACACCCCCACCCACCACCAGCCACACCCCCACCCACACTAGCCACACCACCACCCAACACCAGCCACAACCCCACCCACACTAGCCACACCCCCACCCACACTAGCCACACCCCCACCCACACTAGCCACACCCCCACCCACACTAGCCACACCCCCACCCACACAGTTTCCCAACTACTCCCAATGCTCGTCTTTACGCCCCACACTGACCTAAAAAGCCATTGACTTTTTCTGAACACTTAGGCAGATCGCAAGAAGCAAGTATGACACCAATAGGGTGACCGCTGTTGATCACTACACCTGTTATAATGCAAGTCATTCTCGGATAGATTTGCTGCTTGTCTATATTTACGGGTGATCAGTTTTAGTAAATTAACAGTTTTGTTATTTGAATAGGTTGCATAATGATAACAATAGCGATGTGATATGGATATGGGTCCGACTTTAATGGGAAAGTGCAAAAAAAATGATAAAATAGCGATAGTGATGTGGAAAACGATATAATAATGCTTTAAGTAAAACTATAAAACGATATATCTATTTCATGATATAAATGAAAGAATTATATTAGTATTAAAATATAATGAAATAATAAAATATTGATTACATGGTGTTTTGTAATAATACGATATAATAATTTAATGGCCGATATAATGATAATGATTATGCTTTTGATTAAGAGGAAGACAACGATAAAGACAACACAATAAAAATATATTAATAGATTAGTACTAATGGTAATGATATTAATATTTATAATATAATCTTTAACAATAATAATAATTATATTACTAACACTATCAATAATATTATAAATTTTAAGAAATCAATTACAAATTAATTAATACCATGCTGTCCGTAGATGGTGCGATTGCCGCAGAAAGCTGATACTACGGCCGCTTCCTCTCTGTGAAAGTTATAACCAAAAAAGTAATAAACATTAATAGAGTAGGGGTGTGTGTGTGGGGGGGGGGGTGTTAGCAAGATTCTGAGAGGGGGGGGTTACTGGCTTTTGTGATGGGGTGGAACGAGTGGGTTAGGGGTTTTTGAAAATTAGAAACAAAGTTTCGAGAGGGGGTCTGACTTTTATGATCGTAAATTGAGTATGGGAAAGGATAAGTGGATAAGTGGACACGTGAATAAGTGGACTAGTGGATAAGTAGATAAGTGGATCAGTCGATAAGTGGGTAAGTGGATAAGTGAATAAATGGACAAGCGGATAACTGGATAAGTGGATAAGCGGATAAGTGGATAAATGGATAAATGGATAAATGGATAAATGGATAAATGGATAAATTGATAAGTGGATAAGTGAATGATGGACAAGCGGATAACTGGATAACTGGATAAGTGGATAAGCGGATAAGTGGATAAGTTGAGTAATGGACAAGTGAATCAGTGGATCAGTAAGGAAAGGGCATCAAGTACTTAAAGTGCATACCATACAGTGATCACTACAGGAGAATAGCATTGTGGAAGAGGAACGTCTAAATATAAACACGGTAAGCGCGGACTTACTTGAACAAATTGACGGTAATTCTGAGAGCTGCGTCCTCCACAAAAGCCTTGATTTGGTCATGGTAGCTCAGGATGATGATCCTGACTTCTGTCGTGCTGGGTGTAAAAGGGTGTTTTTGTTTAACGTCTTGTGATGCCTTCCCCCCCCCCCCCCCCCGGCACTGTTATGATCAGTACCCATCCACACACGCAAGCGTACGTGTGTGAGTAAGCTTAGGCGCATGTGTATGTGCATGTGTATGTGCATCTAAATTCCTATGCATATGTTCCTATCTATGTCCATGTCTGGGTCTGTGTCCACGTCTACGTCAGGTCATCGCCCATGTGTCCATGTCGTCTATGTCTATGAGGGTTTCATTCAGGCATCTCTCTTAGGGAGGAACGTTTATCGCCCCCCCCCCAACGGAAGGTAATTTATCTAGAAAATATAAACTATTTTCAGTGTTAGCCCCCCACCCCGTTCCGGAAAATTTAGTCCGCCTTGAAATTTTAAATGCCCCCCCCCCCCCCCACCGAAGGAAAATTATTCTCCATGTCTATTACTTAGGCTTAGTATCAATTAAAAATATTTTAGGCTAATTTCACAATAAAAGAACGCAGTCGTTCACCAAACAAACACCGAAAATAGGGTCGTGAGGGAATGTCGAGGTTAAATGTCGTGAGTAAATGTCGTGAGTGAATGTCGTGAGTGAATGTCGTGGTTAAATGTATTGACTTAATGTCGTGAGAAAATGTCGTGAAAGAATGTCGTGAGAGAATGTCGTGAGTGAATGTCCAAAACAAAATGACTTACGTCATTAGGGGCATCATGAAAAAGTAGTAAAACATGGATGCGGGTGTGGCTAGGAAGGAATCGATCCACAGCCCGGTTCGCACGTCGGTAAAAACCACCGTGACACAGAACTTGTAAAATTGCCGGTCACTTTTGAAGACGATCGACGATATACTATCGTCAGTTACGCTGTGCGTTAGTTTTCAGAGTCAAAATAAACCAGAATTAAAAAGATATAATAACAGGGTTTTAAATGAAAATGAGCAATTCAACTAATTTGAAAAATAAAATAAAACTATTGGTCAAAAATACAGTTATCCTCCGTTTATTAGTGTATGTTCGTAACAACAATTCACCGTAGACGTTATGATAATCATAATGAGATATTGCCATAGAAAATTATGGGAATATGATACAATATATATATATATATATATATATATATATATATATATATATATATATATATATATATATATATATGTATATATATATATATATATATATATATATATATATATATATATATATATATATATATATATATATATATATATATATATATATATATACGTATGTATCTCTCTCTCTCTCTCTCTCTCTCTCTCTGTATATATATATATATATATATATATATATATATATATATATATATATATATATATATATATATATATATAAAAAAAAAACACGGTATCATAACTATACATAATAAGAGCAACAGCTAATGGTAACATCTACTCACTCATTGACTTTCAGCGTGTACGAGCTCAATTCAAACTTTCCAACAACGACGGTCGACGTGTGCACTACGCTCTTAGCTTGGACGTCGATCGACCTTTTAACTTTGACCTGCACCTCAAATGGCTGGACATCCAAGGTGGTCAGATAAAACTCGACCAAAGCGTCCTCGTACCTCGGCACACCCAGGATGAAGTAGTCAGAAAAAGTTGTCAGGCCTGAGGTATAAGAAAACAATGAGAAACTCTGGCGCTTGCAATAGGGCTTGTAAGTAGGTAACCAACTTCTCGTTCACGTAGTTCTCAGCTAGTCGATTTCGAGACCGTACACTTACAAACCCCATTGGACTTATGAGAGCCTGGTTTTTATATATATATATATATATATATATATATATATATATATATATATATATATATATATATATATTGTTTTACAGTTAGGGGGCTGAATAACTATACGCATTGGGATAAGTATGTTTATAGTATGTATAGTATGTATTCAGGGTGGGGAAAATTACCCGGACTAGTTGAAGCGCGTGGTGATGAGAGGGTAATGTCCTAGAGACGGGTGACACGTGATTTCACGAGCGTTTGGTGCCCCTTCGTTTTGTGTGAGAGTGCACTCAGCGTAGGATTTTACTTACAAAATTTCAAACTTAGGCTAAACCTCAAACTGAGATGAAACCCTAATTTGACGCTAAACCCCAAACTAAGATAAACTCTAAACTGATGCGAAACCTCAAAATTAGGTCAAACTCCAACCTGAGGCAAAACTTACTTCTTTTCCATTCCATGTCAATGGTAAAAACTAAGTGCACCATGACTGCCAAAGCTAGATGAATAATTAGCATCATCTGCCATTAAATATAAAATATGGTTGGTCATTAAAATAAATTCATTCAGTCTTTAAAAAATGAACACAGTCGATACAGACGAATTCATAATCATCACAATTAGAAGTTTATTAATTTAAGTTGGAGGTTTTTTACGGATATAACTTGATGGTATGTTCCAGAATTTGTTTTATTTTTGTTCGTGTCGTTGTCACTGTTGTTAGTAATAGTGTTAGATCTAAAGTACATAAATAGCTTTTCAGAATACTATTTTAAAACATTTAAATATCAAATCCTCAAGTATCTATGCAAATGTAATAAAACTAATATAAAAACACCTTTATAGCAAAAAGCTTTTAAAGTGGAATGTAACTAAAATTTGAACGTTATCGCTGCATTAGAAGTGGGTCAAAATTGAGTTACAAGATTTGCCACAAACCCACAAACAAACTCACAAACGTTGCGAACTAAATAAAAGCTTGTAAAAAACAACACACTGCTTTCTGGTATTTCTACATTATGTCTCAAGACTTCATTAGTTCAACAATCATTGTTACACTGACCAAAACCCTAGCACTAAACATGTTATTTAACTCTAGCACTAATTATGTTATTCTTCAAACCTGTAACTTCAAGACCTCCATGAATGATATTTGATCCTAACCCTTATGTATTCACTGCAGGAAAACAAACCTGAATCCCTGTTATTTTTCAAATCATGTATCTAAACGAACATGAATTATATTCTGGTCCTATCCTTTATTTCCCTACTATCCCAACTTAGCCTAATGCGATAAACAGATATTGTATCCTTAGCAGAAAAATAATAAACAACTTTATCCACAATAATAAAGGAAATAACTCACTCAAAATTATAGCGCATTAGCTGCATAAGTGGAGAAAAAATATAATACATTTCTTGGTACATGGTTAAACTCTTTTATAAATATAATTACAAAAACTACAAACATTAATTCTGTTACTTAAGCTCTCATCTTCAATAACATAAAGCCCTAAGCTCTAAATGAAATGCTGTATAAAATAAACACATCTTTTTGTTTTATAAACATTCTCTGTCGATTTTCAATGGCGTTCATTTTCAAGTGCAAACCGTGCGAAGACTTCAAGGTGCGAAACTTGTATCAGCATTTTGGTCTGAAATCTATTGTCTTTCGTTCAGTATTTTTATTTATTGAAGTCCATTACCCCCAATAACTATCAGACATATGTTGTTATTGTAAAATGATTGTAAGGATAGGTCGAGTTATTGTGCAATTGTAATTTGTATAGCCTGTATTGTATTGATAAGGATAAAAGGCATATACTGGCCTAACTTCACCTCCAATGGGAGACAAATAGAATAGATGGAGATAGAAGCAGTTTCCCAAACAATCGAAAATGAAACTGGCGATGGACGGGCATGTCCTAAGAATGACTCATGATATCGCAGGAATGACGCTAAACTGGATGCCTCAAGGAAAAAGAAAGCAAGGAATGCCAAGGGAGACGTGGAGGCGCACGGCGGGGAAGCAGCTGGCAGAGGCAGGACTGTCATGGGGGACTGCCAGGAAGCAGAGGCAGGACTGTCATGGGTGACTGCCTGGAAGCAGAGGCAGGACTGTCATGGGTGACTGCCTGGAAGCAGAGGCAGGACTGTCATGGGTGACTGCCTGGAAGCAGCTGGCAGAGGCAGGACTGTCATGGGGGACTGCCAGGAAGCAGCTGACAGAGGCAGGACTGTCATGGGGGACTGCCAGGAAGCAGCTGACAGAGGCAGGACTGTCATGGGGGACTGCCAGGGAGCAGCTGGCAGAGGCAGGACTGTCATGGGGGACTGCCAGGAAGCAGCTGGCAGAGGCAGGACTGTCATGGGGGACTGCCAGGTAGCAGCTGGCAGAGGCAGGACTGTCATGGGGGACTGCCAGGTAGCAGCTGGCAGAGGCAGGACTGTCATGGGGGACTGCCTGGAAAATTGCCGGTGACCGACAAAAGTGGAGGGAGATTTCTGTGGTGGGTTCTTGTGTCTTGGTCACAAAAAAGAAAGGGTTATGATGATTGTAATAATATTGTTTTGGTATGTAGAAAAAAATAAATTGTGTAAGGTTAGGTCAAGTATGTATTTAGTGTCTAGGTTAATGCTAATGTTGAGGTAAATTTTGTGTAAGTTTAGGTGTAGTATTTGTTACATCAGTTAGTGATTTGATAAGTTTAATACTTAGTTTAAAAGAGCACAAATAAAAAAACACGGTAATAAAAGTGTAATAAAATGATTTAATCTTCACGATCCAGCACTAAAGTAGTGAGCACGAACTCTTTAGAAGACACACGTTTGACTGTTACAACCTCCACTGGTTTTACTTCATCATCACTGCAGGAAAAAATGTTTTTTTTTAAACTAACTTAAAACTTTCACTTTTATAAATTAGCAGCAAAATATTTTAGAAACTAAAAGAGTTTACTAAATAATTAATAATTAAGCGCTTTTTTTTGCAGAGTAAAAATTATTCTGTTGAGTATTTATGAGAGCATTATCTGTATCATTTATTTTTGTAACCTATATAAACACTATTCTATATACAAGCTAAATATAAACAAACTATTCTATAAACACATTATTATATATAAACATACAAAGCATGTCTTGTTTTTCTTTGATTTAAACTGAATACATACCTCGTCCACACAACACTGTAACACATGATGGCTAGTGTGAAAAATATCACAGTGTAGAAGATAGCCATAAAACTCAGAACGTCAAAACCTGTTGCACAATATATAAATAATGTTAGGATTTTTCGTTTCATTCAAAACAATATTAATTAAAAGAACTCTTTATTTAAATGCGTTGTCTTAATAGTTAACTAAAAAGTTAGATTTTTTTCCGTTTCACTAAGATAAAATAAATTAATTTTAATATTTAAATTTAAATCTGTTCTCTTTATATTTTTATTTTTACTTGATTTGCACATCCCATTGACTCTTTCAAGACAATCCTGACCGTTACATTTTTTACTGCAAGAGTGTAGACAAAGATAACCGTAAGTCATTGGTGGGCATGCTGTTAACAGAAAAAATTCTTTGATTAGTATTTATCTTTCGCTACATATGGAACCCGGATTGAGACAACGAGGTAATTAATTATCGAATAGTTGAAATCTGCTTTGGTTTGCACATTTGAAAAAAAAAGAAAACAACAACAAAAATGGGTTTAATAATCCTGCTAATATCTTAAACAATAAAGAGTGCAAATAGTTTAAAACTTAAAACAATAATTGAACTATAGTTTAAAACACCAGCATACAATTATAGATGTAAAACTATCATACAGCAATGGATGTAAAACACTATATCACACAACTAGAGTTGTAAAACATCATCACGCAACTATATATTTCTGGATAACACGGTCGTCTAGTGTACTACATAAACACATTACAGTTTGCATACATGTATTTTTATATATGTGTATTTTGTATGTCCCCTTCAAAATTGCAAATCTACTGCATGAGTCGCATTAAGCATCATACTGTATATCATTAAACATACTGGTACATCATTAAGCATCATACTAGAACATTATTAAACATCATACTTGTACATCATTAATCATCATACTGGTACAACATTAAACATCATACTAGTACATTACTAAACATCATACTGGTACATCATTAAACATCATACTAGTACATGAATAACATCATACTGGTACATCATTAAACATCACACTAGTACATCATTAAGCATCATATTGGTACATCATTAAACATCATACTAGTACATTATTAAACATCATACTGGTAAATCATTTAGCATCATACAAGGACATCATTAAACATCATACTGGTACATCATTAAACATCATACTAGTACATCATTAAACATCATACTAGTACATTATTAAACATCATACAAGGACATCATTAAACATCATAAGGTGCAGGCTAGAAGGGGGAGAGAGTCGGATATGTAAAGATGTTCACATCTTAAACACATCACGATGGCAGTCTACCTACACACATCACGATGTCTACTTACCCACATCACAATTAAACTAAAATGGTTCCCAACTTAAAACCCTCACATCACAACTTCAGTCTACCTACCCACATCACAACTTCAGTTTACCTACCACATCACAATCTCAGTTTACCTACCTACATCACAATCTCAGTTTACCTACATCACAATCTCAGTTTACCTACCCACATCACAATCTCAGTTTACCTACCCACATTACAATCTCAGTTTACCTACCCACATTACAATCTCAGTTTACCTACCTACATCACAATCTCAGTTTACCTACCCACATCACAATCTTAGTTTACCTACCGACTTCACAATTAAACCAACAGGGTTCCAAAAGTTAAACCCCCACATCACGATGTCAGTCTACCTACCGACATCACAGTGTGAACCCAACCACCCGGGTTTACACGTCCAGCATGATCCGTCAACAACCCGGCAACCACCAGCACAATTGGGACATGAATGTTCACAGTTCTTTCCGTAGAATCCAACAGGACAGTCAACTACAAGAAGAATACAGAGAAATGCTTTTGATAAATACACAGCGAACTACAAGAAGAATATAGAGAAATAATTTTGATAAGAACACAACGATCTCCAAGAAGAATATAGAGAAGTACTTTTGATAAATACACAACGATCTACAAGAAGAATATACCCAAAGAAATACCCTTGATAAATACACAATAATTTACAATTAGAATATACTTAGAGAAATACACGTGATAAATACACAACGATTTACAAGAAGAATATACCTAGAGAAATACACTTGATAAATATACAACGATCTACTAGAAGAATATACACATAGAAATTTACTTGATAAATACACAGCTTGAAATGACTTGGAAAGATATAAATGTCTTTTACCTGCAAAACAATCATCTGTGCCGCATACGGAATTTTTTGTTTCAAGGTTATGACCTTGACATTGAGCTCCTTCATATTCTGGCGCAGGTTCGTCGCAATATCTCCTACAGACAGAAACGTTGGAAAAAAGGGCTAAATATGCCAGAGAAAATATACCAGACTTAATATCTCACGGACAAATTATCTGAATGTCCTGGGACCATTTGTCCTGAGACCATTCGTGCTTAAGATATTTCATCCAGTGGCGTAGGCAGGGGGGGTTAGGGGGGTCATAACCCCCCATAGACCCCTCGGTATATATAAAAAGTATGAGAGGGGGGGTGCAAATCAAAAGTTTGAGGGGGGGGGTGCAAATCGAAAGTTTGTCCCCGGGTAAAAATTGGAACCCCCCCCCCCCCTTGAGACGATCCTGGCTATGCCACTGATTTCATCTGAGATATTCTGTCTGAGATATTTCATCTGAGATATTCTGTCTGAGATATTTTGTCTGAGATATTTCATCTGAGATATTCTGTCTGAGATATTTTGTCTGAGATATTTTGTCTGAGATATTTTGTCTGAGATATTTTGTCTGAGATATTTTGTCTGAGACATTCTGTCTGAGATATTTTTGTCTGAGATATTTTGTCTGAGATATTTTGTTTGAGATATTTTGTCTGAGATATTTTGTCTGAGACATTCTGTCTGAGATATTTTGTCTGAGATATTCTGTCTGAGATATTTTGTCTGAGATATTTCATCTGAGATATTCTGTCTGAGATATTTAGTCTGAGATATTTTGTCTGAGATATTTTGTCTGAGAAATTTTGTCTGAGCTATTTTGTCTGAGATATTCTGTCTGAGATCATGTGTCATGATGTCATTTGTCAAGTCCCCATACGTTGGTCTTATATTAACTACCGGGTGTTGTTTTGGTACCTTCTGCTGACTTCCAGCGGTTCTGTTTGCGCCTCCTGAATACCCAGAACACTGGTTAATTTCCGTGTTTTCTTGGTGAGATACCAGTTGATAGAATCAACGAACCATTTTGTAAAATACCAGTTAGACAGTATCGACCTAACATTTTATAAAATACCAGTAACACACCGACGACCTAACATTTTGTAAAGTTACTGTTACTACATGAATCTTCAACCTACCTTTTTGTAAAGTTACTGTTACTACAGGAATCTTCACACATCCAGCCTTCCCACCCACCCCACGCTCCGTGAGCTAAAATTATATCAGGTTAAAGTTAAGCTCTTATCAGATTAAAGTTAAGATTATATCAGGTTAAAGTTAAGCTCTAATCAAGATAAAGTTACATTCTTATCAATTTAAAGTTACAGTCTTGTAAAAATGTATGAAATAAATCGTATGTAGTTAAAGGTTATGAAAGAAATTTTAAACGTTTATTAAAATAGTAATGAAAGAAGAAATCTTATAAATTAAAATATTTATGAAAGAAGTGTTATCATATAAATGCTATTAAAGAAATTATTAAACGTTTATAAAATAAAAATATAAACTTTTGTGAAAGAAATCTTATGAAATAAAAGTTTATGAAAATGACACATTTTTAAACAATGAAATTTTTTTTAAACAATGCTTTATGGAGGAAAAGTTGATAATTGAATTTATATAAAAAACAAATAAAAACGGTATCAAATCTTCATGAAGTAAAAAATTTACTGAATAAATTTTGAAATAATTAAAATAGTTAAAAACTTGTATTGGATGTTCAATTAAATTTGTACCTGCGTTTTTCCGTTTAAGATCTTCTGAGAATAATTGATCGTTATCATAATCCTTACCTGTTGAAGGTAAGACAAAATCCTATACGCCTTTGTTAGTAAAATACAACTTAATTAGATACCGTCGTGTGTAAAATTATAAATTCAGAATCGAAATATTTAACTTATTTCTGTAAACTCGGCATATGTTGGTACATTGTGGTCAGCATTAAGTCCTGCCGCCTTTACTTTGTATCAACCAAAGCTGTCCATTCGTGCTCTCCCTCCCTCCCTCCCTCCCTCCCTCCCTCCCTCCCTCCCTCCCTCCCTCCCTCCCTCCCTCCCTCCCTCCCTCCCTCCCTCCCTCCCTCCCTCCCTCCCTCCCTCCCTCCCTCCCTCCCTCCCTCCCTCCCTCCCTCCCTCCCTCCATCCCTCCCTCCCTCCATCCCTCCCTTCCACTTCCCCGTCAACTTACGTCACCAACTCGCAACTAGATATTAATGGAATTAATCTGATATTTAAAGTTAATTTAAAAATTAAAGTTATATTTTTCTAAAAATGTTAAACCCGCCTTAATTTCATATATATAATCTAAAAGAAATATTGGACAAAAATACTGATCTAAAAATAAATATTATTTGAAACAATATTGAAGAGCTGTAAAACAATATTTGCTAATGGCAACCACAATACGTTTATATGAGAGAGGAAAGCGACACAAGTGGGTTCATGACATTATGACAGCGACACAAGTGGGTCCATGACATTATGACAGCGACACAAGTGGGTCCATGACATTAGCGACACAAGTGGGTCCATGACATTAGCGACACAAGTGGGTTCATGACATTATGACAGCGACACAAGTGGGTCCATGACATTATGACAGCAACACAAGTGGGTCCATGACATTAGCGACACAAGTGGGTTCATGACATTATGACAGCGACACAAGTGGGTCCATGACATTATGACAGCGATACAGGTGGGTCCATGACAATATGACAGCGACACAAGTGGGTACATGACATTATGACAGCGACACAAGTGGGTCCATGACATTATGACAGCGATACAAGTGGGTCCATGACATTATGACAGCGACACAAGTGGGTCCATGACATTATGACAGCGACACAAGTGGGTCCATGACATTATGACAGCGACACAAATGGGCCTAGGACAATATGACAGCGACACAAATGGGTCCATGACATTATGACAGCGACACAAGAGGGTCCATGACATTATGACAGCGACACAAGTGGGTCCATGACATTATGACAGCGACACAAATGGGCCTAGGACATTATGACAGCGACACAAATGGGTCCATGACATTATGACAGCGACACAAGTGGGTCCATGACATTATGACAGCGACACAAGTGGGTCCATGACATTATGACAGCGACACAAGTGGGTCCATGGCATTATGACAGCGATACAAGTGGGTCCATGACATTATGACAGCGACACAAGTGGGTCCATGACATTAGCGACACAAGTGGGTCCATGACATTAGCGACACAAGTGGGTCCATGACATTATGACAGCGACACAAGTGGGTCCATGACATTATGACAGCGACACAAGTGGGTCCATGACATTATGACAGCGATACAAGTGGGTTCATGACATTATGACAGCGACACAAGTGGGTCCATGACATTAGCGACACAAGTGGGTCCATGACATTAGCGACACAAGTGGGTCCATGACATTATGACAGCGACACAAGTGGGTCCATGACATTATGACAGCGACACAAGTGGGTCCATGACATTATGACAGCGATACAAGTGGGTCCATGACATTAGCGACACAAGTGGGTCCATGACATTATGACAGCGACACAAGTGGGTCCATGACATTATGACAGCGACACAAGTGGGTCCATGACATTAGCGACACAAGTGGGTCCATGACATTATGACAGCGATACAAGTGGGTCCATGACATTATGACAGCGACACAAGTGGGTCCATGACATTAGCGACACAAGTGGGTCCATGACATTAGCGACACAAGTGGGTCCATGACATTATGACAGCGACACAAGTGGGTCCATGACATTAGCGACACAAGTGGGTCCATGACATTAGCGACACAAGTGGGTCCATGACATTATGACAGCGACACAAGTGGGTCCATGACATTATGACAGCGACACAAGTGGGTCCATGACATTAGCGACACAAGTGGGTCCATGACATTATGACAGCGACAC